CTAGCTCAGGGCTCTAAACCTTTACGCTCTCAACCCTTTTGACTAAGAAATGTTGACATGACTCTAGGTATATAGATCTAGGAAACTGGTATACATTTACTGATAATGAATCTCAAGGAAATTTTTTGTTACATTTTTACATTTTCTTTATCTGGTGTGTGTGTGTGTGTGTGTGTGTGTGTGTGTGTGTGTGTGTGTATGCCACCACATGTGAGTGTATATGGAGGTCACAGGACAACTTGCAGGAGGGATTCAGTTCCCTCCACCTTATGGATCCTAGGGATCAAGCTCAAGTTGTCATGCTTGGTGGCAGATGCCTTTATTCACTGAGCCATCTTGCTGGCTCGGGAAATTTACTTTCAGATAATTTTTTGGTATACATATAGCGTACCGTTTATCAAAATTGAAAGCAAACTTGCATACTATTGATCGATATGTTCATTTATTTTTACATAAATAATTATATCTTAGTAATATTTGATACTGTAGAATGCAGAGCTTCAGTGTTTTTCAGTTGATTGACATTTAAAAAAATATTTTATTATTTTTATTTTATGATATGAGTGTATTGCCTGCATGTATATAAGTGCACCCATGTCATGCAATGCCCTTGGAGGTCAGAAGAGGGAGTTAGATTCCCATGAAACTGGAATTACAGATGGTTGTTAGCTGCCATGTGGGTAATGAGAATCAAACCCAGGTCCTCTGCAAGAGCAGCCAGTGCTCTTAACCACTGAGTCATCTCTCAGTCCCCTGATTTTTAAATTATTATTTTATAGTCATAAATGCTGAGAATTCGATTTGTATTAATGCACAGTACAAAATGGTCAAAGTATGTTTCTAGGTATGTCAGAAATTATTGGAGCTGAGGATGTAGCTCAATGGGCAGAATGCCAGTTTAGCAGACCAGAGGCCCTGGGTTGGAGCCCCAACACTGCTTAAAGCAGGTGTTGGCACACAGACCTGTAATCCCACAACAGCGATGAAAACAGGAAGAGCAGTTTGGGCCAAGAACTCCGGCCTTAGGCAGAAACTGCACCACTCAGTCTCACTGAACATCAGTTTTCAGAAATAAATGACATTTGGTACAAAGAAATTCAGTGATCAAAATTAGATATGCTGTTATATCTCAGGACTAATATTAGCCTCGAATCTTCTAGCAAAATACCCTTTTGGTAAAAGTATTGAAGATGTACGGGATTGGGCTGCCACCTAGTGGACAGCGAGGATATTTCTCATGCATTTCCGTGTAGCCAATGATGGCAATCTTACACTTAGAAATAGTCCTTTAAAGTTCGATATTTTTCATCTCTCTTCAATTATTGTATGGTTATCATGAGAGAACCTCTGTCTGATCTTTGACGTATTTGTAGTTAGAAACCATCCCTAGGCAAGGTTGCTAATATGGACTGACTAGATGACTCAGAGAGTAAAGGTGCTTGCCACCAGGCCTGATAACTGAATTTAGTCCCAGAGATGCACATGTTGGAAGGAGAGAACAGACTCCTGCATGCTGTCCTGACCTCCACATCTACACTGTTGCACATGTGCCCCCTACACACAAATAAGTAAAAATTTTTCAGATTATAAAAAAGTATACTTTTAAGTTGCTAAAATAAAGATAAATTCAGTGTTACATCTTTATTAAAGAAAAGGCCAATATAAATTATGAAATGAAATTAGATGTCAATTTAAAATAATGCTGTGAGTCTCTGAGTCTTAAGATTTTTCAAGTTGTTTAAACAAATCTATAAAGTAGCCGGGTGTGATAGAGTACACGTCTTTAATTCCAGCACTCAGGAGACAGAGGCAGGCTGTTCTCTGTGAGGCCAGCCTGGTCTACAGAGCGAGTTCCCTCCAGGCCAGCCAGGGCTACATGCACTATGAGACGCTGTCTCAAAAAAAAAAAAAGCAAACCTCTAAAACATCTTAATCCACTGTCCTAATTTTTTTTCTTTTGACCCCCCTCCACCCTTTTTAAATTGGTGATGCTGGTTGGAACCTAGCACCTGACACTCCAGAGTTGAGCACTCTACCATTAAACTTACGTCCTCAGCCTGTTTTCCTCCTTTATCAGTCATACATTCTCTTTAAACAACTTCTCTTCATACTGGTAAGCATTAAAACAAGATTCTGTGTGGTTTTCTTTGTCTCAAGATGGAAATCCCCAGCCTTTTGGGCATAGTGAACTCGGGATCTCTGTGAGGGCCTGGGAGTCTACAAGAGCTGGGCACATGGCCCTGGTGAGGGCCTGCCTCCTGCTTTGCTTCCTAGTCAAGCTGGATGATTTCCTTGCTCTGACACTGGCTGGAGGTCCCTGGACTGCTTGCTGTGGTGGACAGAGCCGAGAGAGTTGGTCATTTCCTTTGGAATCAGAAGAGCCAGGTTCTGGCTCCTGGAGCTCAGCTCAGCCAGCAGATTACCCAGCAGGTCCTCACTGACCCAGCCAGCCTGCCAGTTGCCTCCCTCTGTTCCAGTCACACCTTCCACTTGTGGCAGAGGTATCATTTATCTCAGTGCTTCTCACAGGCCAGCCCTGCCTTACCAGCACAAGCCTGAGTGAATGGCACATTCAGGCTTAGATCCGTGCAGATCTGACCTTACTCTTCAGCTATGGCTCATTAATCATCTAACGCAGTGTCCTGTACGTATTACGTGTTCAGTCAGTGGTGGAGATTGTAGCTAAAATGCTATAATTACCAAGTTAAAATTTGACAAGTTGCTAGCCCTGGTGGCACAGACTTAGGAAGCCGAGGTAGGAAGATTGCAAGTCCAGGGCCTGCCTGGGCAACTTGGTGAGGTGTCCTGTCTTAAAATAAAAAAGTCAAAAGAGGTCTAGGGAGTGTCACTTAGTGGCAGAACATTTACCTAGCATGTGTGAGGCTCTAGGTTCAATCCTCAGTGCCAACAGGGGGAAAAATGTGTGTGTGTAAACATGTTAAGGCAATTCAGCTTCATTGTTTTTTGTTTTTTTTTTTGTGTGTGTGTGTGTGTGTGTGTGATGTTGTATTTGTAGCTTCTGTGAAATTGGCTCTTCCTAATGAATAGTACCTAGGCAAAAGAAAAATGCTACCATAAATAAATTTCTAATGATAAATGATGTTTGCTCTAATTTGGAAATTAAGAATCACCTGGCAGGAATGTGTTAGCCTAAGATCTTTTTCTAGATTCTTATTTTATCTTAAGTTGTGTTAAAAATCAATAAAATTTTAGAACATATGTGATGTTTTAAAGTAATTTCCATGGTAAAAGCAATTTGGATAAAAGCCATCAGGATATTGATATTTTCTCAATAAATTTAAAATTAAATTAGAATATTAAGTTGCTATATTTATTCTAGAATAATGATTTTTCTCACTCCAAGTGTGGTGAGAACCAGTGAGTGTGAAGAAAGGGGTAAAGAGGTTTAGAAAGGAAGGGGGAGGTACCTGGCAGACTGCTTTCCATTCCCCACCACACACAGAAGTGGGTGTTAACCACAGTGAGAGCTAACTCCATGCATGCCAGGATTGTCAAAGTAAAAGCACAGTCAGGAAGGTGATCCACACATGTGCATGTACACCCATTCACACCTACGCATAGTTGGTGGTGAGAGTTAATGGCCTGCATAATGAAAAGGATAGATATGGAATTCTAATGCTGTCCTCTGGTTTGGGTGTCTCTGGAAACTCAGGGAACTACTTAGAAAATGAGTTAAGGATAGTCTTAACTATCCTTAACTATATTTGTACAAATATAGAATCCAGAATGAGCCCATTATAATTTGTGTTTTCTTCTGTTTTATAAAGACCACCATCCGCTTTGGCAGAAGAGCCAGTTCCACAGAAGGATTTTCTGCCCCAGTTGGGGTGGTTTTCACCCCTCTCCTCAGTTTCTGATCTGAAAACCTCTTTTCATAGGAAACTGTTATGGAATGTAACTGTAGTACACATGAAGGTAGTGTAACAGGGATAGAGTGGAGAGAACTGTTTGTAAAACTTGTTACTGTTTCCTCTTAGGTTTATGATTGCTCACTTCAGGCAGCTTGGTCAAAGACATTTGTTCTAGGCATGAGGCAGGAAAACTGGCAAGATGCCCAGCTGCATATACAAAGTCACCTAATCCAACAATGTTTCCTCGTAGGATTTTTCCCCAATATAAATCATATTGATAATATTCTAGAACAAAGTCAGGAGCTGTTGTCTAGAGCATGTGTTTTGTTTGAATGCATTGCCATCAAAAAACATTTGCGCCAGCTCTGAAAGTTTGAGGGGATTTTATAAAAGAGTGGGGGATTCTGCCAGGCGTGGTGGTGCATGCCTTTAACCGCCCCAGACTTGGGAGGCAGAAGCAGGAGGAGCTTTATGAGTTTGAGGCCAGCCTGGTCTACATAGTGAGTTCCAGGCTAGCTGAGGCTACAGGGAGACCCTGTGTCCAGGGATTCTCACTTCTCAGGAGATCTGGACTCTCTTGGTAGCATGGAGGAGTGGCTACAAGTGAGGCCTGAGGTGCCCTATTCCCCACTCCTCCCTCCATTCCTTGGTTTTGGTTTTTAGTTTGTTTCTTGTGTTTCTTTGTTTTTGAAACAGTGTCTCCCTATAGCCTCTGCTGGCCTGGAACTCTTTATGTAGACCAGGCTGGCCTGGATCTCCCAGAGATCCACCTGCCTCTGCCTCCTGAGTGCTAGGATTAAAGGCATGAGTGATCACACCCAGCTCACTCCTTGTTTTTAACATCTGGTCTGTTGCATTCATCTGGATAATGCTTCTTACCTGGTTAGATCTTTTTTGCTGATACTATCTTTATATTTCAAAATTAAAGGTAAAAACCTGGGCATGGTGGCTCATACCTGTAATCTCAGTACTTAGAAGTCTGAGGCAGAAGGCGTGCCATTAGTTTAAGACCAGCCTAGGCTATGTCATGAAACCCTCTCTCAATTATTCAATCAATTCATGTAAAGCTATGAATTAGAGATGCTTATTCCTCGTTTTTCCATATGTATCTCTCTTCTTATCTGGCAGCTACAGTTGTATTCAGAGGCCAGTGTAGCTCTTCTAAAGTTGAATAACCCCAAAGGTTTCCAAGAACTGAACAAACAAACTAAGAAGAACATGACCATCAATGGAAAAGAACTGACCATAAGCCCTGCCTATCTGTTATGGGATCTGAGTGCCATCAGCCAGGTAAAGGATGCAGATTCCTCTACAGCTCAAGTTAAGACTTTAGAAATGTTTGCCTCTGCCAAAATAGCCCAATTGGGAGAGCCTTAGAAGAATGTGAAATACGAAAAGTTTACAAGTAGTTCTTTAGGTGGAGGAGGGCTTATGAGAGATGCCTTGATTGGAACTTTTCTTAACTTCCATTTACTACCATTGGTTTGATACTTGTTGAAAAAAGCAAGAGTTAGATCCAAGACCCTTTATGTAAAGTGTAGTAAAGAGATGATGCATCCAAGTTTTAAAAAATATATTTAGTTTTTTTTGTGTGATTTTTTTTTTTTTTAAACTTAAAACTCCATCTTTAAAAGTCAGCCAGAAGCCAGGTGTGGTGGTGCATACCTTTAATCCCAGCACTGAGGAGGCAGAGGCAGGCAGATCTCTGTGAGTTCAAGGCCAGCCTGGCCTACATAGGGAGTTCCAGGCCAGCTAGGGTTGCAGGGAGATCCTATCTCAAAACAACAACAACAAAAAAGTCAGCCAAAGCAGAGGGCAGGGAGTCAAGACAGGAAGACTAGCTGGGATTTAGGGTTCTTCGGGTATTTATGTGTAGATGTTTCTGCCATCTCCCAGTCCAAGCAGGATGAAGATGTGTCTGCCAGCCGCTTTGAAGATAACGAAGAACTGAGATACTCACTGCGATCTATCGAAAGGCATGCGCCATGGGTTCGGAATATTTTCATTGTCACCAATGGACAGATTCCATCCTGGCTGAACCTTGACAATCCTCGAGTGACGATAGTGACTCACCAGGTGCATGACTTTGCAAATACAGGGCTCGTGTTTCCTGTTCTCTTCTTTCTCATAAGTGCATTCCCCCTGAGCTTCTCAGCTCCACCTATTTTGACCTCTTCCTGTCTCCTCTCTTCTCTTTCTAAAGGCCAAACCAAAGCAGAACAACTCACATTCACCTCTTTCTCTGTTGTGTGGTTTTTCTGTTAAAAGGATGTTTTCCGAAATGTGAGTCACTTGCCTACTTTCAGTTCACCTGCTATTGAAAGTCACATCCATCGCATCGAAGGGCTGTCACAGAAGTTTATATACCTAAATGATGATGTCATGTTTGGTAAGGATGTCTGGCCAGATGATTTTTATAGTCACTCCAAAGGCCAAAAGGTAAGTAGTGGGGAAGGTACCTAGCTGGATTACTAGCAGATGAGGAAATCCATGTATATTCAAGTATTAACAAATAATGCATTTCTAACTTCTAAGCTCAGAAGAGTCAATAGTTGAGCAGTTAGAAAACCACAGTAAGAAATTTGCTTCCCTACATTTTCAGATGAACAGAATCTAACCTCCCCGCCCACATTTTCTACTATAGCAAAACTACTTTGTAACACAGTTGTGGCTAGCGTGTAGCCAAATGACCAGCATGTAGCTTAAATTAGTTCTTAAAGGTATGAATGAAGTTTCCTGTAAGGTGGCCTGTCTATCTTTGACTTTGCTGAGAGGCAGTGGAAAACTGATTAAAAGCACTTGTGTAGTAGCAGCTGCTTAGCACAGTTCTTGACAATGACTTGCCCCTGTGTTTTCTGTCTGCATGGTGAGGAGAGTACAGATCCCACCCCCTCCCCAGCACGTTTTAAAGGATGTAGCAATCAGTCGTACTTATCCCCATATAAAACTCTACAATCTAAGTGCTGGTGGCTTTGCTGATGTTTATGCCACATCCTAGACTCTTTCTCCTCTCCCCAGTCATTGCCTCCTTGTTTTGGACAGTAGGACTGGGTAGTTGAGCTTATATTTAATAAAGGCACAAATAGATCAACTGTGTACAGTTGCTTTCATGCTGATTGGCGTGCCCTATGCTGAGGAGTGTGAGACTGAAGGTCTAAATCAGGTGGGATAGGGGAAACCTCTCTGAATTGAATTGGATTT